ACTTTTATAGGTATATGGCGAATATGACGGACGTGAAGTACCACGCCAGCCACTCGTGCTCTGTTCTGGTGTGAAATTTGATGTTGGCGATGATGCTGATGGTGAACGTTTCCAATGCGGCAAACGCTGTTGCGGATACGGTGTCCCAGGGAAAACACGAGGGGACCAGCTGCTTCGTCCCGCCGCAAAACGTCCACTGTACGGACTCTCGAATGGACTGCGGAACTGATTATGGTTACCCATTGCACCGCGAGGAGTACGAGGGGTACCTGAAAATTGCACTTGTTTTAAAAATTCGCTTTTCACATCGACGTTTTTTCCGGATTTCAGGATTTTCCTCGCTCTGCAGGCTATGCCAGTAGCCGGTCGACAGGATCAACCTGGTTGCTACAATCTGCTTATTGTCAGTAACTCGAATATCATCCAAAATCAAAAGTCACCGGTGTTGTGTTTGCAGTCCGAGAGGGGCAACACAGACTTACCGCGGAGACGGTGGATGGCCTCTTTCGAGGGTTACTTAAAAGCAAGCTGATGGCAAGTTTGACTCCCTGGCATATGCCAGTACCAACTTTACCATCGAAACATAAAGGGACTAGTCGTAATCTTTAGGAAATTGGACTCAAATTTGTCACACAGCCGAATTTTAGGGGGATATTCTCAGCCCACATATAAATTAAAGATTTCAAATTCAGTCCCAGTTGCGCGTGGTTCTCACGTACATGTCCGTGCAAAATTTTTGGCAGGGGAATTGCTAACTCATATTTCCACCAAATTTAAAGTACGAGGAACGAGGGGATAAGAAAGGAGATGAAGTTCTAGAAAGGCCTTGACGCATTCGGGCGTACATATGAAGCCTGCTGGGTTGGATGATCGACCCGTAAGTTAATTCCCGTTCCCATGAACTTGATGGTCAGTCTGCTCCCTGGTGCTGGTCATCCTGACATTATTCCAGGTGCAGTTAGTAACTTTTAAGCTTCTACAGTTATGCAGAACAAATTCACTAAACACCGAGATCCAACATTCCAGGTGCAGTTAGTAAACAGTACAGAATGAAGTAGGATGATTCAAGTTTAATATTTCATGTGGAATATGCTAATGCGCATGATAGGGGATTGGGAGCTTGTGTTTTGGAATATGTTTTAAAGAATGTGTGACAAATTCATATCTCATGTGCTGAGAATATGTAGGAGAAATATTTGTCAATGTGTTTCATCCCTTAGCTGTAAACACTGGCTTTCATTTGTCTTCACAAATATCTTCAACATCTTAGGTGGGGAACTAAAGCGGGAAGGTGGGAAAATGAAAAAAGCGCCTACAAATTTGGCGAATTACTCAACAGTTCACTGGATCCGCCTTTAACAGACAACTAGAGGTAAAGTTAAGGGTGGGAATCATCAGTACAGCTCCCTAACCAGGAAAAAATTCACTAAGCACCGGGAACATTTACTAGTCCTCCACTCCCTCCTTCCGCCCCTGCTTTTTTTCTGTAGAAGGGAAAAGTGCTAGATGTGTGTATGTGTGTGTGTGCGTGTGTGTATGTGTGTGTGGGTGTTTGTGTGTGGGTGTGTGTCTGTGTGTATATGTGTGTGTATGTGTGTGTGTATATGTGTGGGTGTGTGTGTGGGTGTGTGTTACACTTCTCCAGCCGTTCACCCGATTTTTCCATTTATCTATTTATAAGTTCTTTTCTTTCAGAATCCCTTGTGATGGCCGTCATTCATTGAGGGGGCCATGGGCTGGTCTGGCTCTTCAGTTATGCAGCCGGCAACTTTTCCATTTGCTCTGTCCATTGCTGTATCGCTGGGGTGGTCAGCCAATTACGGCCATTGCTGGCGATCCTCATTGGTACCTCGTATCTGTTAAACTTAATTTAACCTCAAAATGAGAAGCCGCTTGTAGCGTGAACGAACATGACGCATATTTTCCTGTTTTCAAATATTAATTACAGTGTATAAAGCTGAACTATGGGATTAATTTTACACGGGTTAGTTATACCTTTTATATTATTTTGTTAATATCCAGGTTGATTTTAGGGGGCCACAGTGACTAGTCCACACATTTGTACACAGAAATAAATACCAGTCCTCCAAGTATTTCCCTCCTACTGTGGCCCTCAGTCAACATCTGATACACGCTGTTCTACAATAACTGTACTACCCAACACACACGCATACGTCGTGTTGCTAACGTTCTGTTCATATCGCTATTCCCTCTCCTTGTTACTGTTAATAATACTTCCAGCTATGTCAAATTCGCGGTTGTTCGGGGCAATATCATTGCCATTGAGAATTTTTTACAATTGGAAAGTATGGTATAATCTCACCGTAATATTGCCGTGGACGTGGCATCATTGATGCATTGTCATCCATTTTTTTACGATCCCTCGCCTCGAAAAACCAAACGGAGCACCGCGATGTCTCTCAGCACTCGTGCTTTTGAACTGAAACAGGAAGCGTATTTCACAAGTGCTGGAAGGTTCAAACAAAATTTACCGGGCCGCGAATTGCCGCCGTGTGTGGTCCCGTTAAATCTTGTCGCCCAGGTTTCCTATTCTGCAAATTAGGGGAGGGGGGCGGGGGGAGGCAAAGCGATGGGTTTCTCGCCCCTCCTCCTCTCCCCTTCCCTCGCCAAGGGAGCAGGCACCAGTATTGGGGAAGCCCTGGTCTCTTCATAAATAGGACTAAAATAACTCTTAGTAGCGGTGTTGCAACCGTGTTCCTGCGTCGGAGGGTACTCTCTTCCCCGCCCTCCAGCTTCCCCTCCCCCCTCCCCGTAGGAGTCCCGCTCCCCCACCCGTTGCTCCCCCTCCTCTTCTCCCTTGTCAGGAGTCCATCCTGGATCCGCCTATAATCCTGAGAAATATTAGCTCATGATTTGAGATTCGTGTACCGTTCCGTTATTGTAACGGAGGGGGGTGGAGAGATGCGAAGGATGGATATATCTGTTTTGCTTGTAAAGTGGAAAAGAGCAATAAGGCAAGTAGTGCTGACTTTGAGCGAAAGGTTAAGAGGAGTGAACTCAGCCAGTGAGCGAACTAGTTCCTGTACGATTCGTTCATTCGTTTCGATGGTAAATTGATACTGGCGCATGCCAAGGGGTCAAATCCATTGTTATTTCGCTTATAAGTAAGTTTCGGAAGAGAGAGTCATCGACAGCCTTGCCAGAGGATGATTG